CCCCCCCCCCCCCCCCCCCCCAAAAAAAAAAGAAAAAAAACTGTTTTGTCAATATTTCGAAAAATCAACCTACCAGAAATGCTGTACAAAGTCTAGTTTTACATCACAGCTTTGAATTCTAGTGCACAAACATTAATACATGATTTTTTTCTCTGTCGAATTGACAACAACACATTTGAGTTCCAACTGAATCAGTACGATGCTAACCATCTCTCTTCTTGGATTGCTCTGAAAGATACCTGCATCACATCCAAATTTCAGGGGTTGAGCTACAAATCTAACTGAAACGGGAACACTCATGGAAAACTTTTTCTAGAAAATAAGTGGGCAGCATCTTACTTATTTTCTTGTGTTCGATATGTAAGCAAAAATTATTACCCTAAAAAGTAAAAACAGTTGTATATAATCTAAACAAGTACTATGAAAGGTTAGAGTGTAGGTAGGGGTGTGCGGTTGGGGTTATGGGAATAGCGGGGAAGATGAGTTGTGTTGGAGGGTGGGAAGGACACAATCGATGTGGAATACCATTTGTGAAACTTGATTACCCTACTTCCATTAGGGAAGTTGTTCCAACCGAACGAGGGAAAATTGGAAAACCTCTGTACCAAACACACCCTGAGATAGGTCATCTTCTAATGAATATTAACCCAAATCCTGCTATGAGAGCACTTCAAATACTCACAACAGAAAAGATATTAGTATTGGAAGACTTTAGAACCATACTCTTAAGTCTTAACTGTCGTCTACCTTTGACCTACAACTGGAATTCTTACACTGGTGCCTTTAAAGGTTCCATCATTGAAGACTTTATCTTTCTTTTGACAACGATGTTGTTCGGACGAGCTTGGGCGCACCTTGACTATTTCACAGGTACCTGCTACCTCCTACCAACTAAAGTAGTATCAGATAACTCTACCCACTAAATCTTAAGCAGCTGATGAGAAGATATCACCAGCCATTTTTTTCTCTACGGGACAGCAAGAGAACTTCGTGCAGCTAACCTTTATAGAGTAAAGTCACTCAACTGAAGAGGTGATATGGATCCTTTTTGAACTTCAACCAGAAAATTATGTTTACGAGCAAATATTTGCATGGTCTGATTCTGAAACAGCTTGCTTTCAATTTTTTTCAAATTTACCACATTTGCAAGAGTTTGGTGTTAAGCAACAGTTTCCACAGAAAGGTACACTGGAGAATATCAGATCATCCATTGAAGAATCGAACTTCACATAAACTTACTTTCCAGTGTAAAAACCGGCAGAGTACCATGCATTCAGCACTTCCGCTAGATCCGTCTCCAAGCCGCCAGTTTTCTCTGCAGCAACAGGGTTAATCATCTCTATTTGTTTTCCTGAAATGAGAAAGAGTTAAAACAAAGTACTTAAAAGAATATAAGGACATTTGAAAGATTAAAGTTCTTTCTCACATCATATTGGATCTTTTTGTTGTTCTCTGAATTTCTGTAGTAAATTTGAGATCCTCATTGTATTATATGATGCTAGTGCTCCTAGCAGTAAGTCATCAACATGCATTCAGTGTAGCAGGACCTAGAATCAATGGACAGAGATTGCTCAATTGCCCTGCTACCCAGAGATACTGAGATGTTGACTTCTACTAAAGGAAAATTTTTCATTGCAAATTTCCTAAAGAAAATATCTTCATTTGTAGGGTGTTTTCGGTATGAAGGAAAGTGTTTTCCATGGAAAATATTTTCTTGAAAAATGTTCCCTAGGAAAATAAGTGGGTTTCCTACTTATTTTTTCGTGTTCAGTAGGTAAGCAAATATTATCCTAAAAGCAATTGTATATAATTTAGACAAATACTATGGTAGGTGAGGGTGGGGAGGAAGGGGTGCGGGGGTAAAGATGAGATGTGTTGGAAGGTGGGAGGACACAATCAATGTGGAATGTCACTATTGAAACTTGCTTTCCCTACTTTATTAGGCAAGTCATTTTCCTGATTTTAAGGAGCTTGTTTTTCTAGAGAACGTTTTCCAAAATATTTGACCAACCAAACATGGGAAATTGGAAAATCCTTTGTACCAAACACACATGTAATCCATAATCAATCAAGTAACAACTTGCTCCCCCCTCCCACCCCCCACCCCCCTCTTCTCCACCTCTGTCTTCTTCTTGTCCGTATTCATTTCACCTCATTATGTAATAGAAAATTGAAGGATCTTCCAGTTACTACCACATCACACCCTAGACATAAAAAGAAAGCAGTCATGCACTCAAGCATCAAGAGAGCTGCTCACCTTCCTTTGCAAATGAATTCAGTGAAGCCGTGTTAGAAGCTTGCTTTAAAGAGGAGAGTGCTTTTTCTGCAGCTTTCATTGCTGTATCAACCAAATTAGGGTTTTGAGGAGATGATTTCTTTTCTTGAACACATTGTAAAGAAGCATCGCATGGTTTGTCATCCTGATTTACACACAAACAACAAGGTGATGCAGTGCATGGAGACACCCAACTTTGGCATCCATATGGGCAGTAGAAAGAAGAATCTGTTTGATTTAAATTATGTGATGCATAAGCTTGATGTTCTTGAGAAGCAGAACCAGAATTTTGATCACCCCAAATGCCAAACTGGTTAAGTTGCTGCAAAATCTTTTGCCTTTGATCCTCAAGTTCATAATATTTGTAGAGTAACTGGTTGTAATCTTCTAAACTCTGTGAACTGCTGTTCTCTATGGCCTTATCCTGGGTGTTTTGCTCATTCAGTTGACCAGTATGGTTTTCAGGAGGAATTGCCTCAAAAGAGGAATTTTCTTTTACTAGTGGAAGGCTGCTTGCATCCCCCATTTCTGTAGTGGTATCTGGTGTAACTTTGCTGTTATCATCTCTCTCTTCTTTGCTTCATCCACACAGGTGAAAACAAAACAAAGAGGATAAAGAAGAATGTCAGTCTCCAGACAGTAAATTGTTTTTTCCTGATGTAACTTGAAAAAGATTATCACGAGAAGTACTCCCTCAGTCCCATTTTATGTAAAGGTATTACGGTTTGGGGAGTAAAACAGTTTTTTCTTTGACTATTCTTAAAAATATTTTGAATCATTAGATGTTGACCATTGACCTGTAGTATGTCGCAAAGTTTTCAAATGCAACATTATACCCAGTGATATCCCACAAGTGGGGGATAGTTTTCAAATATGTATAGTTTATTCATAGTCACAATCAAGTGTTTTGACCCAAGTACTCCAAACTCCTTCACATAAATTGGGACAGAGGGAGTACCTCTGCATATTTACTACCCAGGCTGGCACATGTGAAGCAAACAAAAAGAAAACGAAGTGGATACAGGGAGATCAATAAAGCAATAAACAGGGGAAGTTGTGGCATGTAAACAGCGTATTGCAACGATAAATCATCAAAAGATGATACATGACCTATAAGTCTACCAACCGGAATATGTAATAACTTTAATCAGCCCTACTAGAAAGGCAAAGTAAAAGTACTTAACATAGCTCTAAGTTGAAATCCTAGCAGAACAAATCAACTACTAGCAGACATCTAAAGATGCATCAATTTAAGAGAATTACGTAATAAAAAGAGTTAGAAAACACCAAACTTTTCCAATTCTGTAGATATGTGCAAATCTTTTCAAGTAATTGCATTTCCTATGTATTATTTTTTTAACACTAAAAAGCTCAAAGAAGAGATAAAAAGAAATATCAGTTGATTCAAACCATGAATAGGCCTTTCAAGCTCATTTAATAGCACTCATTTGAAGTCATAAATTGAATTCATTAAGAATTAGAAAATAACAAACTTTTCCATTTAATATCACTCAGTTTGAGTCATAAATTGAATTCATTAAGAGCTAGAAATGTCCGAGTCTTCTTAGCTGATAGCATTTCCTTTATAATAATTTTTAATCATTAAAATAGTTCGAAAGAAAAAATAAAAAGAAATATCACTCTAATTGAATCACAAATGGACCTTTTAAGCACATTGCTTCCGTCGTCAGGAGCTGTCACATTCTCCTCTTTGCTGCTAACTTTAGCTCCTTTACTATGCATAATCTGGAAATTGGAAAGAACATCAAGAGAAACATATAAAGTTTTCTTAGAAAGGGAAAAGGAGTAAGAAATGATAACAATCAGTAAACAAGTATTGTGTTTGATTCTAGGCTCTGTGCAAAAGCAGCTGTGACTTAAATTTGGCTGTCTTTATGGAAGGGGTAGGGATGAAGACTGATTTGGAGGGTCTGAGAGAAAATCAGGCTGTATGGAAGCTAGGGAAGTTAGGAGGAGTCAAAAGATCATGGCCAATGCAGAGAAGTAGTGGAATCAAAATGATGTCGAGGATGATGATCGTTAAGAAGAAGGAACAGCAAAGGGGGAGAAAGGAGAGCCAAGATACTTTATTCAACTGTGGCATCCAGCATCCCAGAGATAAAAACAAACTTAAATTGAAGTTCAACAAGATTTTAAGTAAGAATGACAGAAAAGAAATTAGTAGACCCAACTTCACATACGAAAATAGCCTGCATAATGGAAGATGCACCCAGGAAAGTTCTACTTGCTCTCAGATAAAGACAAAAGCATCTCTCATAACATCCTCAAACGCAGGACATAGTAAATAAAATGAACTACATCCTTGAAAGTATACCTAAAAATTACTTTAAAAGAACTTTATCACTAAGTATTGCTCTCTGGTACATACATTGTAGGAAATGCTTTCTTCCCTCCCGTAACGGAAAACAACATTTTTTTCTCTCTTTAGCCCTCCTTTCCCTTATTCCAGCACCACACAATTCTCTAGTGCTCCTCCGACAACACAATATAACGGAATCCACATCGCTTCTGTTCTTTCTACCCTGTCATCTCAGATACATTGGCAGCAAAAAACACCATAAATCATCCCCTTGACATACTAGAACCCAAAGTCAAATAAATGAAAGGCACAATTAAAGTAGAAAAGATGGGTCCTCATGTAAATATCATTTTCTCGTTCCAACTTAATGCTTCCAATCTCTTCACAATATCCAACTCCCTAGAGCTTTACTCAAGACTAAAGGCCAATAGCAAAAGTTGTCAAGTGAAAAAAAATTCAACCTAAAAGAGATTAACTACACTGCTATTCTACCTATGCCTTGATTGGGAGTTACCCAACACCTGTGCTAGTCAGAGACTTGGAGTAATGAGGTACTTGGTTGAATAGTCGAGTGCCTACAAGATGACCTGAAAACAACTATAATCAAGACCAAATGACACCATGTTCCTTTTTGACCACATACAATGCGATCAACACTCTAGCCTAATGAATTTCGTGCTGGTAGTCCATACTAACAAGGAAAAACAAAAAATGGGGTTTCTTAATTTTCTTCCTGAATATCTTAAATTGAAGCCAGAAAGTATTACAATTGCATATGTAATATTAAAACAACAGCTACCCTCAATTACAACACTGTTCGGGTAAATGAACCCTCTATTATCCCATTCCACTCCATTTGTATTTCATTTTTTACCTAAATTATACTAATCAAGTCCAAAAATTATCGCCAACTAGAGAAGGAATATGAATGATTAGATTACTAATACATCTAGAAAGAGGAGCAATTTTGAGTTCAGAAGAACTGCGTTAAAAGCAAAAATTGAAAATACAGCTGACATAACTAGTAAGAGCGATGTAAGTGTGAGTTTTGATAGATTGTAGAGTGAAGGGAGAACCTTGTACTTGGATACGGCATCGTTGAACGCATTAACGAGGGCTGAATCGTCCCACAAATCGTTTTCCCCCATTTTCGCTTTCTACTCTGCTGAGTTGCAAGAGAATTGCAGCAGGGTTTAAGCTGCGTTTTGCAGGGTTTAACTTTGATGGTCTTTTTGGATTAGCTGCTAAAATTAATTATTTTCCCTCTTCGTCTCATATTACAATAAAACTTCACTAAATTAGTATAGTTGGGACGTGAAATATTTTTATTTTATAAAAGTATTATTTAATTGATAAATTATTAATTTATAGAGTTTTTTGAGATTCAACCTTATAATGCTCAGATAATAAAAGCTTTCTAGATGTATTATCGGAACAAGTTTTATCGTAGGATATTAGAGGCTATGAAGTGAGACATGAAACTAATCCAATAAAAAATATGTTTTGAATGTTATGAGTTTGACAATCCCGACTTGGACGACAAATTTTCAGCAAAAGACAGCAACAAATTATTTTTGACATTATAAAATATATTTGGAGGATGAAATCTCATAAAATTTGAATGGACCCACCCACATGTAAAATGTCATTTATGTACTTGAGGTCATGATTAATTATCTCGGTTAACGCAATAAAATGAACGTCAATAACCTATTTAATTATGTAGTTCAAAGTTTAGAAGAAATTGTGGATACCATAAAAAACAATGTTGACAATGAAATTGTAGATGATACAATACCTTTAGAACCAATAATGCGTAAGGAAACACTTATCGTATCTATAACTCTTCACAATATTATGGTGTAGTTCGAAAGGACAATACCAGAACTTTTGGATGCAATAAGAAAAGTTAAAGATGAACACAAATGAAATTTGGAGAGTCTATTAAATTTAATATCTTTTAAATATTTTAATTGTTAATAATTTGTATTTATGATATTTTTATGTAATTTAAAAATAATATATATTATTTTCTATGTCATAATTTATGACACTGATATAATTTTAAAAATCAACCAAATTTTTTACATGTTACTTGTGATATAACTATAAATTATTTTATAATAAAGGATTTTACGTGATGTGTTTAATGGATCTAATTATATGTAAAAAAATTCAAATTAAACTTTTAAAAATTGATTGAAATTCCGGCACGCCAAGAATAACAGAGTCCAACGTTAAAATATACATTTTTTTAATCCTAAGCACAAAAAAGAACCTTCTCTAGAAACACACATCAAAACAGACAGTTCGGTCATATATGAGCGAATAATAACTATCATCCTTTAACCCTGTTATCCTCATCAATTTCCAATTCATCCAAAATAATATTACATCAAGTAAAGGTAATATTAAGCCTGAGCTTCTATTGCTGACATAAAAATATCTCTTTTCATATCTTCGTGTACAATCCAGAAGAGTTTACCCGTTCTTTGTTCATAAACCCTTGTGAGGGTTTCACATAATTTCATCAGTTTTAATCAGGACAAATTCGCCTACTTGTGCCATATAAGAAGCACTATAAGGTTCATGTATCATTATCCTAATGATATAACAAAATAAGAGCTTCCTCTATCTCACATGATAAAGCAAAGAGAAAAGAAAGATAAATAATAGAAAAAAAATAGAATTGAACAATCGTACATGCACTTTTTGTGCATACAACTCTACAAGAAAATTGACCCCCCTCCTTTCTATTGAAGAAAGAGAAAAATAGAATCTATCAGACCCAAATGGATAAATAATTAAATTGCCATCCTTCCCTTCGGAGGAGTTCATAGTATCCGAGATAGTTCGTTTTATTTCTTCCTCACATGAATTTATATCTTTTTCTTCCTCATGTGAACTATATTTCTTTCCTCAACAATAAATATGGGTTATTTACTCCACATTTTTCATTCATCTTCTACTTTTTTATACTTTATATTTTGATTTTTAAATTTTGATAGCCATATCTCAAAAATCCATTTTTTTTTTATATTCAATTAAACCAAATATTTATAAATACAAAGAATATTGCAAAATAAAAAACACCAGAACTCCACAAAATTTTAATTATAAATTTTGAAGTTATGCGTATTTAAAATTTTTAAAAATTAAGCTATTCACTTCAATAAAATGATTAATGCGATTATTTTTTATCGACATAAAATATGCTCATAAGTGAAACTAGGGTTTTCTGCCCGACAGTGGAAATGAATAAAAGGGTATGTTTTAAGAAATGAATAGACACCATCAACAAAACATTAATAGTTCTTTTTAAAAAAAAATTATTTTTATGTAACTAATTAAATATAAAAAATATTGAAAAACCAAATACACCCTTCAATCAAAGAGGCTAAATTGAAAACAACTTTTTCAATAGTTCAACAAAAGGTCAAAAAGTATACACAACGGACAAAACAAATACAACGACGTCGTTTACGTATTTTCGAGAACTAAAACGACATCGTTTGCCTTCACACTACCCCTTTACATAGATAATACCTTCACTAATGGAAGCTACAAGGTAATGTTGCCGACCCATCTCTCTTTCCTATCTTTTTCGCTCAAAAATATAATTTATTTTCTTTCTTTTCGCCCAAGTAACTTACAATTCAAAGTGTTGAATTTTTCTCAGAAACTATAAATGTTTTCTTTATTATTAATTATAAAATAATTTAGCTGATGAGTTTCACAAGCTATTCAGTGAATTCCATCTCCGTATCAACGCCGTCGTCTCGTGATCTCCGCTGCTTTGTTTGATCGTTCGTTCCTCAGTTATCTCTCTGTATCCTTTGATTCTTTCTCCGAGACGACCACAAAGATAAAGACGACGGCGTTTGATCTATGAAAGGTATATGTTAAAGCAGGGTAAAACAAGTTTTTTTTTTTTTTGGTTCACTGCTTGGATCTGGACTGATTTGTTTCGATTTGCGTTGTTTTGGAAGTAATTTTGCTAAATCCGAAGGTTTCCAGGGTAGATCGGCTGGGAATTTATTTTTCTGGAATTAATTTGTGATAAAATATTATTTTCCGATTTGTTTCTATTTTGTGAGTATTTTTTGAAGTTTTTTCTAGTTATAAAATCATGAAAAATTGTGCTGAGAGAAAAAAAAAATCGTTTTTTAAAGTTTTTTCTTGTTACATAAATCATGAAAAATTATTTGACTTTTGCTGGTTATTTGCGGTGCGGTTTGATAAATTATTGAAGTAGCAAGTTTTTTTTTTTCATTTTCCAGGTAAGTTTATTGAGGTTTTATATATACGAAGATGAGATTAAATTAAGTGAGGGTTATATTTTTACACTAGAGCGGAATACTTAATTTGATTATCACTTCTTAATTAGACATGCGGATTGTGTGTCCCAGTTGTTGAGAAAACAAGGAGAGGCATCTGACTAATTAAAGGGGTACTTGACAATATTGTGAATTTGCGGGCATGTTTATATTGAAGAATTGAAATATGAGAACAATGCTAACTTTGTATAGCCATGAAAGCTTGTGTGTAAATTGGCGACATCGGCACCTTGACAATTCCACATGGTAATAAGTACATCCTCAGTAACTGTCCAGTCAAGGAGGCGGCATGTGACGAAATTACCTAGCCATTTGGATTAGAATCTTTGCCCCTCATAGTTCTACTCATAGTCTCCCATCGTGGTGTTACCAACAGACAGGAGACACCTATATATACACTCAGCTAACTCTGTGCCAACCGCCTCTGAAATACAGAGGATACGAGCGTTATCTTGAATGGTTGGGTGTGAGGCGCCAATAATCAAGAAGAAGTCCTTTTCTTGTACACCCAATAGAATAATAAAAAATGATATTTATCGAGAAGTGCTAAATCATAATATGTATGTATATATTTTATTGGGGTTACATGTTTGCTGAATTATAAGTTAATTCAAGAAGGTTTTGAAAACAAAAAGGTGAAAAACACAAAAAGTTCACGTGGTTGTTTCTCTGGTGTTTGTTCATGGTTGAATATTAGCTGAAGTTTTAAGTGCAAGTAAGAGATTTAAGTGTAATGCTAATCTTGATATTCTTGCTAGAAAGATAATGATAAGACCTTAATTCCTTTTTTCTTTATTTATTTCCTTTTATCTGGAAATTTAAGTTTCGGCATTTTTATGTGCATCTTTTTGTCTTTCAATGCTAACAAAAATTATGTTTTCAGAGGAGGTGAATTAAATTAGCTCGTAAGTTACCTTTGTACAAAGGGAAATTTGTTGACTTGACATCAACATTATGGAGACAACGTGCTTCTGCCGAGATGGCCACTCATTGCAGAATTTGGTAGGTTTCTCAAAGTTCCATAGGCATCGGAACAATTTACTGATTTTAGGGAGAGATGTTCACACTTGCAGGAAGTAAATAAATTTGGCACATAGTTATATATGTTTAGGCATGAAATTTACTTTTTCTTTCACAAAGAAGTGTGAAAAATATTTGCTTTTGTTTCGCACACCAAAAAACATGAAATTTACTTCTATTGCTGGACTCAGTGTTCAGTTAGTGTTAGATTACCTTAGCTATGTAATTTTTAACTATGACATGTTCTTTTATGCGAGTATCGTGCTGCTCATGTGAAGAGATCCTTATCC